TGTGGTTCTCAAAGGGACAGGAAATGTTTCCTTGTCTCCTGAGGGCACACGCTACAGTGTCATCCACCTTGTGAAACTCCCTCCACTAGTTACTGCTTAGTATGTCTGCTCCAGTGCCCCTTTAGGAATTTTTTTACTGTCCATATGTGGGTGCTGCTTACCAGGTCAGAATTTACTGCTCAACCCTAATTTCTCAGAGGGCAGTTAAGAATTTTTACCCCAAAATTATATAATACTTTATTCATAAAAATTATAAAATACGTTACACAGCTTCTGCACTTCATGTAAAATCTGGACAGCTATCAGTTTCTTTCAGCATTGCATATTATTCAGCTGCTTGGCCTGCTGTGTTCATCCAGTCCTGCACCTTGTTGTCTCGGATTCTCCAGCATCTGCAGTTCCTACTATCTCTTATTCAGTACCTTTCCTGTTAATATTTCCAACATTCCTGACATATCAAACACAGTGCCTGAGGGGCTTTTACAGTTTTTAGCACCTCTATGCATTACATTGTGAGGGGACCTTAGGCTCTGACATTCCCCCATTTTGCATTTGATAAAGCTGTTCTAAGCTTTAGTCCGTCCCTCAGCAGGTAATGGTAGACCTTGGAATACGGCAGTCTGCAGCTTGGTCAAAGTCATGGACTGGAAAACATCAAGTTTTGGGCAGACCAAAGAACACCTTTCAGAGTTGATGGTCCTTCAACTGCAATTCATGTACATCAGTGTTTGGGAGCAACCCGCAGAATACAAGAGTATGGAACTGCTAGGGGTGAACATTAATAAACTGTACTACGTCTTTTTCTGGACCTGCTGTGCGAAATCATTAACACGGATAACTTCAGACTTCTCTACATTAAGTTTCATTCACCTTATCTAATGAACATGTACTTCCCTTACAGCTAACAATGCTAGATGTCATGTCAACCGCTAACAGTGAACGTGCGAAGCGCGAACAGAAACAAAGTCGCCACTGCCCATAAAACTAATAAATGATCAAGCTTTTCCTTTATCGTTTTTGAATATACGTACAGTTTAACTATTCAAATAATACAAGAATCGCAGTTAGTAACGACTGTTCTTCGTTCCTGGTTTGCCTACTTTTAGAAATTTGGTGACAATGCACTTTGAGAAGGGGCTGCCCTCCCATTCTGTGCAATTTGACAAGATACCCCCATTGCAGGAAGCACAATTGTAATTGCACAAGCGATCGCCTTCACAGAGAGCGCAATGTACGAGTTGAGAAGCAAGCCCCTTCGCATAGAGCACAGGGTGCAATGTGCAGGTTGAGTAGGGACTCCTGTCACTAACAGCACACAGAGTAATGTTCTCACCTGCAGTTACGAAGCTAACGCTCACAGTGTAAAGGAGCTCGCAGAACGCGGAACATGTCATGGCTCTGGCCCGCCCCCTTCCGCCCGCTGACGGCTACAATTGGTTATTCCTGCCGTCCATCAGCGGCAGGGGGCGTGGTCAGGCCGCCGTGGATCTGGGCAGGTTGTTGCCTGCAGCTGTCATTATGCTGCTGTTTGTTTAGACGCAGTGAGAGTGGACGTGGCCTGTCAGTGGGGTGAACTGCAGCAAACTAGACCAAAGTGAAGGACAAACTTTAGTAACCTGGCAAACCTCCCTGATTACCTAATGCCTGGCCAATCCAACAACGCAGGTTAACCTATTGAGCGCAACACAAGAGAAAAATTTCAGGAGTATTAAAAACATTTCATTTTCATTTCGTGGAACACTATGATTTTTATTTGTTATAAAATTGTATGCGGATTTGGGAAAACAAAACTCGGTGGAGTGACTCATAGAAGGAAATCATGTGATGGAAGCTCTGGTAATTAACTCTTAAGTGGAGTTGGCAATGCTGTGAACAAAAGCATTAGGATCAAGAGTAGGCAATTCAGCTCCCAAGCCTGCTCGCCATTTAATACGATTATGGCTGATCTTATCTCAGCCTCAGCTCCATTTGCTCCCCATTAACGCTTAACCGTTTACTGGCTGTGCTTTGTTTTATTCTTTCTTGGCATGCATTCATTGTCCTGGAGAAGGTGGTGATGAGCTGCCTTCTTGAAATGCTACAGTCCATGGCGTGTACAGACAGCCAGTGATATTAGGGAGGGAGTTCCAGGTCTTTGATCCAGTCACAGTGAAGGAACATCGATGTAGTTCCAAATCAGGATGGTGAATAGGTTGGAAGGAAATTGCAGGTGATGGTGTTCACATGTACCTGCTTCCTTTAGGGTCACCGGACCAGAAACATTAACTCTGTTTTCTCCTTCACAGTTGCTGCCAGACCTGCTGAGCTTTTCCAGCAACTTTGTTTTTGTACCTGCTTCTTTTGTCCTTCTGGTTGGTAAAGATAGTGGATTTGGAATGTACTCTTGGAGGATTCTTATTGAGTTACTGCAATGCATTTTGTAAATGTGGTGCCAATCATGTGGGCTGCTTTGTCCTGGGTATTGCTAAGCTTCTTGTGAGCTGTTGGAGTGGCACTTGTGTAGCCTAGTGGAGAGTATTCTACCTCATTCCTGACCTGTGCCTTGTAAATAGTAGATAGGCTTTGGGGATACTGGAGGTGAGTTATGTGCTCTTAGCCTCTGACCTGGTCCTGCAAAGTATTTATATGACTAGTCCAGTTCAGTTTCTGATCAATGGTAACTCCCAGGGTATTGAAAGTGAGGAATTAACTGATGGTAATGCCATTAAACATGAAGGGCAGATGGTTAGATTCTCTCCTGCTTGAGATAATTGTTGCCTGGCGCTTGAACAGCGTAAATGTCACTTGACACTTATCAGCCCAACCTTGGATGTCATCCAGGTCTTGTTGCATTTGGACACAGGCTGCTACGTATCTGAGGAGTTGGGAATGATCATGCACTTGCAATTATCAGTGGACATCCCCATTTCTGACCTGCGAAAAATGGAAGTCATTGATGAAGATGCTGACGATGGTTAGGCCCAAGGCACTAGCCTGAAAAACACTTCCTGTGATGTTCTGGGACTCAGATGATCAGCAAAAACCATGGTCATCTTCCTGTGTGCTAGGTATGATACTACCAATGGAAAGTCTTCTCTGCCTGTTTCTCATTGTATTGAGGTTGCACAGGACATTGATGATGCCTCTTCTGGAGTACTGTGTGCTGCTCTTGTCACCCTGTTATAGGACAGAAATTATTAAACTTGAGACGTCTCAGGAAAGATGTACCAAGATGTTGCTGGGAATGGAGGGTTTGAGATTTAAAAATAGGCTGGATAGGCTGAGACTTTTCTCACTGGAGCATAGGAGATTGAAGGGTGACCTTATTGAAGTTTATAAAATCATGAGGGGCATAGATAAGGTGAATGACCAGGGTCTTTTCCCTAGGATGGGGGCATTCAAAACTCGGGGGCATATTTATAAGTGAAAGGAGAAGGATTTTAAAAAATTGTGAGGAGCAACATTTTTATACAGGGAGTGGTTTGTGTGTGAAATGAACTGCCAGAGAAAGTGGTGGATGCAGGTACAGTTACAACGTTTAATAGACAAGTTGGATAAGTTCATGAATAGTAAAGGTTTGGGGGATATAGGCCAAATGTCTATATCAGAGATAGTAAGATCTACAGATGCTGGAGTCAGAGATAACGCAGTGTGGAGCTGGAGGAACACAGCAGGCCAGGCAGCATCAGAGGAGCAGGAAAGTTGACGTTTCGGGTCAGGAGAAGGGTTCTGACCCAAAAAGTCAACTTTCCTGCTCCTCTGATGCTGCCTGACCTGCCGTGTTCCTCCAGCTCCACACTGTGTTATCTCAGGTAGAGCTAGTTTAGTTTGGGAACATGGTCAGCATGGACTGGTTGGACCGAAGGGTCTGTTTCTATGCTCTATTACTTTGACTTCAGCTGTGCCAGTGTTCCTTGATATTACACTCAGTCAAGTTCCTTGATATTACACTCACATGGTTGTCAAGGGTAGTCGCTTTCATGTCAGCATTGGATTTCAGCTCTTTTGTCCACGTTTGGACCAAGGCTGTAATGTGTCAAGAGCTGTGTGGGCCTGGTGGAATCCAGACAGCGTATCAGTAAGCAGTTTATTCCTTTGCAAGTGCCACTTCTTAGCACTGTAGATGACCCCTTCTATCACTTTGCTGATGACTGGTAGGGCAGTTATTGGCCAGGTTGGATTTGCTTTTTCTGCACAGACATATGTGAACAATTTTCCACATTGTTGGGTAGATGCATCTGTTGTAGCAATACCAAAACAGCTTAGCTCAAGGAACAGCTAGTTATGGAGCACAAGCCTTCAGTGTTATTACTGGAATGTTATCAGGGCCCAGAGCCATTGCAATATCCAATGGCTTCAGTCTTTTCTTGATACCATGTGGAGAGAATCAAATTGGCTGGAGACTTGCACCTGTGATGGTTTAGACTTCAAGTAGGCATTGAGATGGATCATCCTCTTGGCACTTTTGAATGAAAATGAAGGGTTTTTTTCAATCTTGTCTATTTTACATATGATCTGGGCTCCCCCATCATTGAGGATAGGGATACTCGTGGAGCCTCCACTTCCTGTTAGTTAATTAATGGTTTACCACCATTCATGAATTGATGTGGAAGCATTGCTGAGGTTAGATCGAATCTGTTGTTTATGGGATCACTCAGCCTCGACTGTTGCATGCTACCCTGGCTGCTAAGCAGTCCTGTGTTGAAGTTTCATCTGATTGAGATCTCAATTTTACGTATGCTAGGTGCTGTCCTGGTTTGCCCTCCTGCATTCTTTGCAGAAGCAGAATTGGTGACCCTGTTTGATTGTAATGGCAGAATGATCGATATGCCAGACCATGAGGTCATTGTAGCATGGAGGCCTACAAAACAGAAAAAGGCCCTTCAGCCCATCAAATCTGTACCAGTCAGAAACAACAATCTTACTGTTCAATAAAGAAATGAAACGGGATGGACCATCAGGCAGCGAACTAGATACTTACAACAGCAAAACCAGGCCTCTTGACCCTGCAAAGTCCTGCTTATTAACATCTGGGGGGAGCTAGTGCCAACATTGGGAGAGCTATCTCACAGACTAATCAAGCAACAGCCTGATATAGCCATCTCCCAGAATCATACCTTACAGACAATGTTCCAGACACCACTATCAGCACCCTTGGATATGCCTTGTCACACTGATAAGACAGACCAAGCAGATGTGGTGGCACAGTGGTATGCAGTAAGGAGTGAATTGACATTGACTCCAGATCCCATGAAGTTTCATGGCATCAGGTCAAGCACAGGAAAGGAAATCTACTGTTGATTACCACATAATGTCCTCTCTCCACTGATGAATCAGTATTCCTCCATGTTGAACAAAACTTGGCAGGAAACAGTGAGGTTGGCAAGGGTATAGAATGCACTCTGGCTGGACGATTTCGATGTCCACCACCAACAGTGACTCGGCAGCAACCCTACTGATTGTACTGGTCAGGTTCTAAAGGACATAACTGCTAGACTGGATCTATGGCAGGTGGTGAAGGAACCAACATGAGGGAAAACCATACATGAACTCATCCTTACTAATCTGCTTGCAAAAGTGGAATCGATGGGAATTGGGGGAAAACTTCTGCTGTTTGGAGTCATACCTGGCACATAGGAATATGGTTGTGGTTGTTAGCTCCAGGACATCTCTGCAGGACTTACTCAGGGTAGTGTACTAGGTCCAACCACTTTTAGCTGCTTCATTAACAACCTTCCCTCCATCAGAAGGTCAGAAGTGGGGATGTTCGCTGATGAATGCACAATGTTCAGCACCATTATTGAATCCTCAGTTACTGAAGTAGACAGAGTTCAAATACAACAAGACTTGGACAATATCCAGGATTGGGCTGATAAGTGGCAATTAACATTCACACCACACAAATGCCAGACAATGGCCATCTCCAATAAGAGACAATCAAACTACTGCCCCTTGACATTCAATGGTGTTGCCATCACTGAATGCCCCACCATCAATATCCTGGAGGTTACCATTGACCAGAAAATCAATTGGACTCACCACATAAATATTGTGGCTATAAAAGCAGGTCAGAGATTAAGAATACTGCAGCGAGTAACTCATCTCCTGTCTCACCAAAGCCTATCCATCGTCTGTAAGGCACAAGTCAGATCAGGAGCGTGATGGGATACTCCACACTTCCCTGGATGAGTGCAGCTCCAACAACACTCAAGAAGCTTCACACCATCCAGTATAAGGCAGCCCGCTTGATTGGCACTACATCCACAAGCCTCCACTCCCTCCAGCATTGATGCTCAGTAGCAGCAGTGTGTGCTATCAACAAGATGCACTGCAGAAATTCCCCAAAGATTCTGAGACCCACTTACCAGACACATAGCCACTTCCATCGAGAAGGACAAGGAC